TAATAACATAATATCACTGGGGTATAATAATAATATAATATCACTGGGGTATAATAATAATATAATATCACTGGGGTATAATAATAATATAATATCACCGGGGTATAATAATAATATAATATGATATCACTGGGGTATAATAATAATATATCACTGGGGTATAATAATAACATAATATCACTGGGGTATAATAATAATATAATAATAATATCACCGGGGTATAATAATAATATAATATCACTGGGGTATAATAATAATATAATATCACCGGGGTTTAATATTTAATATAATATCACTGGGGTATAATTATAATATAATATCACTGGGGTATAATAATAATATAATATGATATCACTGGGGTATAATAATAATATAATATCACTGGGGTATAATAATAATAATATAATATCACTGGGGTATAATAATAATATAATATCACCGGGGTATAATAATAATAATATCACCGTGGTATAATAATAATAATATCACCGGGGTATAATAATAATATCACTGGGGTATAATAATAATATAATATCACCGGGGTATAATAATAATATAATATATCACCGGGGTATAATAATATAATATCTCTGGGGTATAATAATAATAATGTAATATCACTGGGGTATAATAATAATATAATATCACTGGGGTATAATAATAATATAATATAATATCACTGGGGTATAATAATAATATAATATAATATCACCGGGGTATAATAATAATATTATATAATATCACTGGGGTATAATAATATAATATAAAATCACTGGGGTATTATAATAAAATATAATATCACTGGGGTATAATAATATAATATTACTGGGTATAATAATATAATATGGCTGGGGTATAATAATATAATGTAATATCACTGGGTATAATAATGTAATATAAAATCACTGGGGTATTATAATAAAATATAATATCACTGGGGTATAATAATATAATATTACTGGGTATAATAATATAATATGGCTGGGGTATAATAATATAATGTAATATCACTGGGGTATAATAATGTAATATCACTGGTGTATAATATGGCTGGGGTATAATATAATAACACTGGGGTATAATAATATAATATATCACTGAGGTATAATCACTGGGGTATAATAATATAATATTACTGGGGTATGTATAGTATAATATTACTTGGGTATAATATTACTGGGGTATGCATAGTATAATATTACTTGGGTATAATATATTACTGGGGTATGTATAGTATAATATTACTGGGGTACAATATTACTGGGATATAATATGGTTTTACTTGGGTATAATGTTACTGTGGTAGTATATGACTGGGGTATTACTGGGTTATACTATAGTATTACTCCGGTATAATATTACTAAGGGATATTATTACTGGGCTATGATATTACAGGGCTTCGATATAACTGGGATATGACTGGGGTATAATATGACTGGGTTATGATATTACGGGGATGTGATAAGACTGGGGCTGCGATATCGGTGGGGTATGATATTACTGGGCTGCGATTTTTAGTTTGCTGGGATATTGCTGTGATATAAGTGGGCTATAATATAAATGTGGTTTGATATTAGTGGGCTATAAAAGTAGGTGCTATACTAGTGGGCCGCGATAGCATTTGGTGTGATATTCTTATAGGGGGGTGCAATGATATTACTGGGTTGGGATATTAGTGGGGTGCGATATTTCTTGATGCAATATCATTAGTAGGGTCCGATATTTCTTGATGCAATATCATTAGTGGGGTGCGATATTACTTGATGTGATATCATTAGTGGGGAGCAATGATATTACTAGGGTGGGATATTAGTGGGGTGCGATATTACTTGATGTGATATCATTATTGGGGAGCAATGATATTACTAGGGTGGGATATTAGTGGGGTGCGATGTTACTTGATGTGATATCATTAATGGGGAGCAATGATATTAGTGGGGTGCGATATCATTACTGGTGTGGGATATTACCTATAATTATTTAGAAAGAAGATGCAATGTTTTTAATGTTTGTGGTGCTGAGGTGTGTGTGATGCTCTGTTCATTCTCGCAGGAGCTGCTGGCGTGAGCGCAGCGTGTTGCGCAGAGTTTAGCTGGCAGACAGGATGACGTGTGAATTTTTCCTGCTCTCGTCCCTGTGGTTCATTGTTGTGATATTTTGGATGGAGACTATCAGCATGTGGCTCTTCCTCTGCCATCTATTCCAGGATCGCGCCCTGCATCAGTGGGTGGAGAGGTGTGTGATATCCAGCATGTCTGAGGTTTAGTATAAAGTGCACCAACTTGTCACTTGTGTGTATTGTATGTGGATGCTGTGAGAAGGCGTTCAGCACTCTGGAAGGAAAACCCAAAGCAATATCAAGCACAAAGCCGATTATGACAATGTCGCCCACATCTGCTGCACATACAGGGGTGAAGGACTGAGAAACTGTCACTTTCAGAAAAGTCAGTGGCCTTTTCTTTAGAAGAACCGTAATTGGGTTTAAACTTTTCCAGATAAGTTTCCCTCCACATATTTTTAATAGTGACCAGTCTGAATTAATATTCTCTGCAGATTTGCCGTCTGTAATAGGTGTGTTGGTCTTTATAGTGTGCGCACACCCAGTAATGGTTCTGCTAGAATACAGGGTGTGCGCTTGTGATATTACCAGGTTCGCTTCTGCCCCAGTTGCTGTGGCTTGACTGGGGTCCTCCTGGAGCCTCTCCATCCTTGAACAGGATAGGGGACTAGCTCTATTCCCTCCCAGGGACTGGAAGACACACAGTCCTGTAGTCCTTACAAAGACTTTCCCAGACGAATCCTCCTCGAGCTGAAACTAGGTGCTGTGCTGTGCTGTGATTAGCCCTTCCCCTCCCAGTAACTAGAGGACACATAGTCCTGGGAGTTCAACTGATTTTAATGAGCCAAACTTGGCTTTTTATGCACTGACCCCAGCATGGGGTCTCCATTGTATTCAACACAAGCCCCTTCCAGGAATACCTGGACCTGGAAGATAATTGAGTTAAAGAACGGTAAGCTAATTATCTCCCAGCAACACATAACATAAAAGTACCCCGGTTATAATATACTGTGTGTGGTAATGGACCGGTTATAATCTAATATACTGTGTGTGGCAATGGGCCGGATATAATATTCTGTGTGTGGTCATGGACCGGTTATAATATACTGTGTGTGCTAATGGGCCGGTTATAATGTACTGTGTGTGCTAATGGGCCGGTTATAATGTACTGTGTGTGCTAATGGGCCGGTTATAATATACTGTGTGTGCTAATGGGCCGGTTATAATATACTGTGTGTGGCAGTGGGCCGGATATAATATACTGTGTGTGGTCATGGACCGGTTATAATATAATATACTGTGTGTGGTAATGGACCGGTTATAATATAATATACTGTGTGTGGCAATGGGCCGGTTATAATATACTGTGTGTGGCAGTGGGCCGGATATAATATACTGTGTGTGGTCATGGACCGTTTATAATATACTGTGTGTGCTAATGGGCCGGTTATAATGTACTGTGTGTGCTAATGGGCCGGTTATAATGTACTGTGTGTGCGCTAATGGGCCGGTTATAATATACTGTGTGTGCTAATGGGCCGGTTATAATATACTGTGTGTGGTCATGGACCGGTTATAATATAATATACTGTGTGTGGTAATGGACCGGTTATAATATAATATACTGTGTGTGGCAATGGGCCGGTTATAATATACTGTGTGTGGTCATGGACCGTTTATAATATACTGTGTGTGCTAATGGGCCGGTTATAATATACTGTGTGTGGTCATGGACAGTTTATAATATATTGTGTGTGGCAATGGGCTGGTTATAATATACTGTGTGTGGTCATGGACCGTTTATAATATACTGTGTGTGCACACAAAACTATCGTTCATTGCAGCATGGGAGAAGGAATTCACATATACTCTCGATGCGCGGCAATGGAATAAAATTCTACTTGCACATAACTCACTCTCCAAATGCGCCTCCCACATGGAACTATCCCGAAAAATCCTATATTGGTGGTACTTAGTGCCTACACGTATAAAAGCAACATACCCACAAGCCTCCGATCTCTGTTGGAGATGCCAACAACACAAAGGCACAATGCTCCATGTATGGTGGAACTGCCCCTCCCTAACAAACTACTGGGACAACATAACTACCATTATACAAGATAGCACAAACATGCTTTTACCCCGCAAGCCAGAAACGTACCTTCTCCAGCTTTTCCCGAAGGGAATGCAGGGTAGCCAGAAATACTTAACTTACCACATACTTATGGCTACACTAACTGTCATTCGTAGACACTGGAAATCCGCTATCCCGCCCACAATAACAGAATGTGTACAAACGATAGAAACAACTAAGCTCTATGAACAGGCAACCAGACGATCAAGTCAATCCAAAAAAATTTGGTCACAAGCCTGGGAAACCTGGCAGTCGTACATAAGGCGTAACACCGTGCCCTCAAAATAAGAGGCTGTGCCCTTTTAGACAATGAAAATTGTAAATGATAACAAAATTGTAAATAATGATAACGTGGTGAATAAAAATAACAAATAGTTGAAAGAACAAATGCTCAATAGAATCAACCATAAGAAGTCAAAAGCCTGGGAGAACCCTACCCCCTTCTATCTACACCTCATCCCCCACCTGTGCCCCCACCCCCCTAAACCCATCCCTTCTCCACCGTTCCCCCCCCCCCTCTTCCAGTGGTACATGAAACACCAATACTCTGCACCTTCTACCAAAGACAAAACCAGGTGAATGTGGACCCCGATAGTCGAACGTGAGTCCTTCCCACGGTAGAAAACTGACCAAACCGCTAGACAAACCTAGAGAAACACAAAGCCTGTACACAAAAAAGTCAAATATAAAAATGTTGTATATGAATAATGTGCAAATTGTATGCATGTCAGTGTATAAGACGATATTTATCTTACCACTGTTCCCCATCCCCATTCTATTCTGTACCCTTATAAAACTGAAATAAAAATTGTCGAAGTTAAAAAATAAAAATAAATATACTGTGTGTGCTAATGGGCCAGTTATAATATAATATACTGTGTGTGCTAATGGGCCAGTTATAATATAATATACTGTGTGTGCTAATGGGCCAGTTATAATATAATATACTGTGTGTGCTAATGGGCCAGTTATAATATAATATACTGTGTGTGGCAATGGGCCGGTTATAATATAATATACGGTGTGTGGCAATGGGCTGGTTATAATATAATATACTGTGTGTGGCAATGGGCTGGTTATAATATAATATACTGTGTGTGGCAATGGGCCAGTTATAATATAATATACTGTGTGTGGCAATGGGCCGGTTATAATATAATATACGGTGTGTGGCAATGGGCTGGTTATAATATAATATACTGTGTGTGGCAATGGGCTGGTTATAATATAATATACTGTGTGTGGCAATGGGCTGGTTATAATATAATATACTATGTGTGGCAATGGGCCAGTTATAATATAATATAATATAATATAATATAATATAATATACGGTGTGTGGCAATGGGCCGGTGTATAATATAATATACGGTGTGTGGCAATGGGCTGGTTATAATATAATATACTGTGCGTGGCAATGGGCCGGTTATAATATAATATACTGTGTGTGGCAATGGGCCGGTTATAATATAATATACTGTCTGTGGCAATGGGCTGGTTATAATATACTGTGTGTGGCAATGGGCTGGTTATAATATAATATACTGTGCGTGGCAATGGGCCAGTTATAATATAATATACTGTGTGTGGCAATGGGCTGGTTATAATATAATATACGGTGTGTGTGGTAATGGGCAGGTTATAATATACTGTGTGTGGCAATGGGCTGGTTATAATATAATATACTGTGTGTGGCAATGGGCCGGTTATAATATAATATACTGTGTGTGGCAATGGGCCGGTTATAATGTAATATACTGTGTGTGGCAATGGGCCGGTTATAATGTAATATACTGTGTGTGGCAATGGGCCGGTTATAATATAATATACTGTGTTTGGCAATGGGCTGGTTATAATATAATGTACTGTGTGTGGCAATGGGCCGGTTATAATATAATATACTGTGTGTGGCAATGGGCTGGTTATAATATAATATACGGTGTGTGTGTGTGTGTGTGGTAATGGGCAGGTTATAATATAATATACTGTCTGGCAATGGGCCGGTTATAATATAATCTACTGTGTGTGGTAATGGGCTGGTTATAATATAATATAATATACGGTGTGTGGCAATGGGCCGGTTATAATATAATATACGGTGTGTGGCAATGGGCTGGTTATAATATAATATACGGTGTGTGGCAATGGGCCGGTTATAATATAATATAATATAATATAATATACTGTGTGTGGCAATGGGCTGGTTATAATATAATATAATATACTGTGTGTGGCAATGGGCTGGTTATAATATAATATACGGTGTGTGTGTGTGTGTGGTAATGGGCAGGTTATAATATAATATACTGTGTCTGGCAATGGGCTGGTTATAATATAATATACTGTGTGTGGCCATGGGCTGGTTATAATATAATATACTGTGTGTGGCAATGGGCTGGTTATAATATAATATACGGTGTGTGTGTGTGGTAATGGGCAGGTTATAATATAATATACTGTGTCTGGCAATGGGCCGGTTATAATATAATCTACTGTGTGTGGCAATGGGCTGGTTATAATATAATATACGGTGTGTGGCAATGGGCCGGTTATAATATAATATACGGTATGTGGCAATGGGCTGGTTATAATATAATATACGGTGTGTGGCAATGGGCTGGTTATAATATAATATACGGTGTGTGTGTGTGGCAATGGGCCGGTTATAATATAATCTACTGTGTGTGGCAATGGGCCGGTTATAATATAATCTACTGTGTGTGGCAATGGGCTGGTTATAATATAATATACTGTGTGTGGCAATGGGCTGGTTATAATATACTGTGTGTGGCAATGGGCTGGTTATAATATAATATACGGTGTGTGTGGTAATGGGCAGGTTATAATATAATCTACTGTGTCTGGCAATGGGCCAGTTATAATATAATCTACTGTGTTTGGCAATGTGCTGGTTATAATATAATATACTGTGTGTGGCAATGGGCAGGTTATAATATACTGTGTGGCAATGGGCCGGTTATAATATAATATACTGTGTGGCAATGGGCCGGTTATAATATAATCTACTGTGTGTGGCAATGGGCCGGTTATAATATACTGTGTGTGGCAATGGGCCGGTTATAATATAATCTACTGTGTGTGGCAATGGGCCGGTTATAATATAATATACTGTGTGTGGCAATGGGCTGGTTATAATATAATATACGGTGTGTGTGTGGTAATGGGCAGGTTATAATAGTGTGTGTGTGTGTGTGTGTGGCAATGGGCCGGTTATAATATAATATACTGTGTGTGGCAATGGGCCGGTTATAATATAATCTACTGTGTGTGGCAATGGGCTGGTTATAATATAATATATTGTGTGTGGCAATGGGCCGATTATAATATAATATACGGTGTGTGGCAATGGGCTTGTTATAATATAATATAATATTGTGTGTGTGTGTGTGTGTGTGTGTGTGTGTGTGTGGGTGGTCATGGGCCGGTTATAATATACGGTGTGTGGCAATGGGCTGGTTATAATATAATATACTGTGTGTGGCAATGGGCTGGTTATAATATAATATACTGTGTGTGGCAATGGGCTGGTTATAATATAATATAATATATTGTGTGTGGCAATGGGCCGATTATAATATAATATACGGTGTGTGGCAATGGGCTTGTTATAATATAATATTGTGTGTGTGTGTGTGTGTGTGTGTGTGTGTGTGTGTGGTCATGGGCCGGTTATAATATACGGTGTGTGGCAATGGGCTGGTTATAATATAATATACTGTGTGATGCTGTAACAGACATTCTGCTTTCTCCCCAGGATTTACACACCCTGACCAGATAATGTACGTAATAATCAGGTGAGTACAGAGCGCGTATTGTTTGTATTGTTAATAGTTTTATTGTTTGATTATACCTGTCCAGACATACAAGCTATTCAGACAGGCGATGTGTAAATATTTTACTGCCCTGGGTTTATGACACAAGTTTCACCAGGCTCCTCTCTGAATAACAACACATTAACACCCTCTCCCTCCCCCTCCAAAAACCCGTTCTCCACCCCCTTGACATGCTTTGCCAAACCTAACCCTCCCCTGTACCCATTGTACGTCTTGTATACTGTGGGATATCTCTCCTTCACCTGCTATATAAGGTCTGATTGTGTGCGTTGCAGTCAGAACCAGGGGCGGGCTCACAGAGCCCTCAGGCAATAGGGGATTGTGCGCTTTCACACCGATATTATGTGCACGCTGTCCAGCTTGCATAATGGCTGAATGAGAGCCACACAGTCATGACTCCCAGACCTGCAGGGCCTCAGAAGAGGGCCAGCTTTACATTTAATAGGTCAATCCTACCAAAAACAGTGTTTTAATAAAACCCTAACTGGCTTCCACACCTCCCATTAAAATAAATAAAGCTAATTTAATTATACAAAATCTGTTTGTTGCTGCCGATATCACAAGCAGTGTCCCCCACATGTGCAACCATACTAGTCCATATAAGTACAATGTTTGTAGGCTACTTGTGTGGTTGCGTGTGGGGGCTTCTGCTTGTGATGTTGTGTTCCTGTATGTCAATGTGCTGAGTTAGAATGTATCTGTCTTGTTTTACCTATTGTACTGCGCTGCAGAATATGTTGGTGCTATATAAATAACTGTAATAATTGTGATTGTATGTGTAAGGAGGCTGTATGCAGCATTGTAAAGGTGGGAATGCAGCTTGTGATGTGTGTGTGTGTGTGTGTGGGGAGGCTGTATGCAGTATTGTAATGGTGGAGATGCAGCTTGTGTGTGTGTGTACGCTGTATGCAGTATTGTAATGGTGAGGATGCAGCGTGTGGTGTGTGTGTGTGTAGGGAAGCTGTAGCAGGATTGTAATAGTGGGGATGCAGCTTGTGGTGTGTGTGTGTGGAGGCTGTATGCAGTATTGTAATGGTGGGGATGCAGCGTGTGGTGTGTGTGTGTGTGTGTGTGGAGACTGTATGCAGTATTGTAATGGTGGGGATGCAGCTTGTGTGTGGAGGCTGTATGCAGTATTGTAATGGTGGGGATGCAGCTTGTGGGGGGTGTGTGTGAAGGGAGACTGTATGCAGTATTGTAATAGTGGGGATGCAGCTTGTGGGGGGTGTGTGTGTGTGTAGGCTGTATGCAGTATTGGAATGGTGGGGATGCAGCTTGAGGTGTATGTGGAGGCTGTATGCAGTATTGGAATGGTGGGGATGCAGCTTGTGTGTGTGTGTGTGGGCTGTATGCAGTATTGTAATGGTGGGGATGCAGCTTGTGGTGTGTGTATGTGTGTGGAGGCTGTATGCAGTATTGTAATGGTGGGGATGCAGCTTGTGGTGTGTGTGTGTACGCTGTATGCAGTATTGTAATGGTGAGGATGCAGCGTGTGGTGTGTGTGTGTGTGTGTGTAGGGAAGCTGTAGCAGGATTGTAATGGTGGGGATGCAGCGTGTGGTGTGTGTGGAGACTGTATGCAGTATTGTAATGGTGGGGATGCAGCTTGTGTGTGGAGGCTGTATGCAGTATTGTAATGGTGGGGATGCAACTTGTGGGGGGTGTGTGTGAAGGGAGACTGTATGCAGTATTGTAATAGTGGGGATGCAGCTTGTGGGGTGTGTGTGTGTGTGTGTGTAGGCTGTATGCAGTATTGGAATGGTGGGGATGCAGCTTGAGGTGTATGTGGAGGCTGTATGCAGTATTGGAATGGTGGGGATGCAGCTTGTGGTGTGTGTGTGTAGGGAGGCTGTATGCAGTATTGTAATAGTGGGGATGCAGCTTGTGTGTGTGTGTGTGTGTGGGCTGTATGCAGTATTGTAATGGTGGGGATGCAGCTTGTGGTGTGTGTATGTGTGTGGGCTGTATGCAGTATATTGTAATGGTGGGGACAGCTTGTGGTGTGTGTGTGTGTGTGTGTGTGTGGAGGCTGTATGCAGTATTGTAATGGTGGGGATGCAGCTTGTGGTGTCTGTGTGTGTGTGTGTGTGTGTGTGTGTAGGGAGGCTGTATGCAGTATTGTAATAGTGGGGATGCAGCTTGTGTGTGTGTGTGTGTGTGTGTGGGCTGTATGCAGTATTGTAATGAGGTGGGGATGCAGCTTGTGGTGTGTGTGTGTGGGGAGCTGTATGCAGTATTGTAATGGTGGGGATGTAGCTTGTGGGGGTGTGTGTGTGTGTGTGTGAGGCTGTATGCAGTGTGCTTAATGGTGGGGATGTAGCTTGTGGGGTGTGTGTGTGTGTGTGTGTGGAGGCTGTATGCAGTATTGTAATGGTGGGGATGTAGCTTGTGGGGTGTGTGTGTGTGTGGAGGCTGTATGCAGTATTGTAATGGTGGGGATGCATCTTGTGGTGTGTGTGTAGGTAGGCTGTATGCAGTATTGTAATGGTGGTGATGCAGCTTGTGGTGTGTGTGTGTGTGTGTAGGGGGGCTGTATGCAGTATTGTAATGGTGGGGGAAGCAGCGAGCAGCCAGTGGCTGCTGTAAAATAAAAATAAAAAACCCTATTGCCCCCACCCCTGCACGGTGGTTGGGGGCCATAAAGATAATATTGGGGGGGAATTTGTCTTAGGGCCCCCACCCGCTGCTCGGGGGTGGGTGGGGGAGGACAGTAGGTGTGTCCCCCATTGTAATTTATGGCTCCCATCCACCGCGCAGGGGTGGGGGCAGGAGGGGAGGACAGTAGATTCCCTCCCCCTCATTATTTTTATGGCCCCCAACCACCGCTCAAGGGTGGGGGTGGGGGGGGGTAGGACAGAAGGTCGTCGTCCCCATTGTAATTTATGTCCCCCACCCACCGCGCAGGGGGGTGGAGGACAGTAGGCTGCTTACTAGACACGCCCCTACTCGCGGTATAGCGAGTAGGGGCAGATCATTTACTAATACTAAGTAATTTTTACTCAGTATTAGTAAATGTGGCTGAAAGACCAGTTTAGGTTTTTCAGCCTTTTAGTAGATAACTCCCTGATACCGTGGGAATTAGGGAGTTATCTACTAAGCGGCTGCAAGATGCAGCCACAGCACGAATAGGATCGGAGTTTCATTCATTCAAATTAAATTCCGATCCGAATAAAGTCCCGAATTGCGTTCTAACACGAATGGGAAAAACTGTTAGAACGCAATTCGACAGTTTTGCCGGCGTCCTGTCTAAGTGACAGGATGTTCGGCAGTACTGACAGTAGGCATCGTGGGAACACGGAGGAAAGCTAAGGATCATGGGAAAATTGCTGTGACCACTGGAAACTAAGCACACTTTGCTCCTCCGCTGGTCACTGCGTAGGAAACCTCCAGAAGAGAAATAGTCCCTACTTTTTCTTCATTTTTAAAGAAAACTAAAGCAGACAGGAAGAAAAGAAGAACAGATACTGAGAGAGGGAGAGAAGAGGAATCGATTGGGGAAAGGTAAGTTCGGCATGGCAGTGCTGCTTTAAAGCTCTACTGTGTGTGGGCACTATAGATGCTGCAGTATGTGTGTGGATAGTGACTGCAGTGTGTGCGAGGGGATATGGACTGTAGTAGGTGCGGGGTGGCATAGGAACTTTTAGTAGGTGCAGGCGGAGATAGTGGGTGCAGGAGTGATAGGGGCAATATCGGGTACTGGGAGGTATAGGTGCTGTAGTGGGTCCAGTGAGGGATGGGGCTGTAGTGGATGCAGAAAGGCATAGGGGCTGTAGTGCATACAGAGATCAATAGGGATAAGAGGGTTGGGGCTGTAGTGGGTGCAAGGGGGCATAGGGGCGATATTATTTGCAGAAAGGCACAGGGGCTGTAGTGGATGAGTGGGTACAGAGAAAGATAGAGGCTGTGGTGGGTAGAGGGGAGCATAGGGGCTTAGGTGGTTTAGGTAGGTACAGGAAGAGCTAGAGCCTGAGGTGGGTGAAGGGAGGGTTGGGGGCTATGGTGGGTGCATAAAGGCTGTAGTGGGTGCGTGGGCATATGGGCTAAGGTGGCTGCAGGAAGGCATCGGAGCTGTAGTGGGTGTAGGGATTGTGATGGGCAAAAGGTGGGATAGGAGCTGTGGCGGGTGAAGGGGGGCATAGCGGCTGTAAGGGTGCAGGGTGGCATAGGGGCTGTGGTGGGTCAAGGGGACAGGGAAGAGTAAAGGAGGGCATAGGGGCTGTGGTAAGTGCTGGAAAGGGATAGTGGCTGTGTGGGTAAAGGGGGGCATGGGGCTGGATGGGTAAAAAGGGGCTAATAGTGTAAAAGTTGGCATAAGTGATGCACAGGGCTAGATAGGTAAAGGGGGCATAGGGGCTGAGATGTGTGCAGGGGGTATAGTGGATGGATGGGTAAAGGGGGGCATAGGGGCTGGATGTTTAAAGGAAGGGATAGGGGCTGAGATGTGTGCAAGGGGTATAGGGGCTGTGGTGGGTAAATGGGGTAAAGAAAATCTTTACATACCTGTAGATTCTGTCATGCTGCTCCTCTGCAGGAGACGGGGGCAGGAAGTGCCCCCTTTAGACTTCTGCAGAGCCGTGGAATGGAGGAGACCTGACAAGAAGAGCAACATCACTGCCAGGACTCTCTGAGAAGGAGGGGGTGGAGGGGGGACATTTAGAGTGCAATAGGAGCAACTTATCACTGTGCTATAAGAGAAATGATGGATTTTTAGATCAGAGATCTCCCCAGCTGGCCTGGCCCCTGACTGCCACAGGTCCTCGGTCCATGACAGATGTGCCCGAGTAGTCAGTCTGCCCCTGTCAGAACGCTTGTTAAAGCACAGCTGATGCTGTGTTTGACTCTACAATATCACTTTGACATATTTTTTTGTTGTCATTTAATAAACACAGGTAGATAACTGCGTTCACATGACAAAGTACAATGCTGGACAAATCAACAAAGTATACAATTCGAACCTCAGTTTGTGAGTGTACAATATATGCATGTCAGGTTGTGCAACCAGCACTTTCAGCTAAGAACCACAAGCGCTTCTGTTGTATTACCTATGAGGTTACTTTGCGTGATAGAGATTAGCTGCAGTAAGCAGGTGTCGGTGGAATGTAGAGTTCTAGGTAGGTATTGTATTGAGGCATGGAAGAGAGAAGACTCCTGGTTAGCAGGCCTCACTGCGTCCGTACCTGTTCAGTGGGTTGGTGTGCAGTATGACAGGAAGGTCTGTCGCTGGGTTGGCTTTTCGTTTGGGGTTGGTTTCCGTGTGAGTCTTTCCAACCCGCCCATGGTACACGTGAGACATGGTCTCATTAATGGCTTGGCAATCGCATTCATTTGGAAAATACCCCGTGTTCATTTTCCATATTTAAATACGTTGGGAAAAAATGTAAAGTTCAGCTGTGAAGCTCATTCTTCGTTGTTGATCCAAAATAAGGAAATACATTTCCATTGATGCCATAAAAAGGGAAAAATTCTTCTTCTTGACTCCATAATGGCAATCTGATTTCTCTTTGAATCGACAGCCTGTTTACATACATATTCTGTTTATGCAGAAAGCATCCAAGCCTTTAAAAAAAAAAAAAAAAAAAAATCTAGAATCTCGTAAAACTGCATTATTGTACTTGCGGTAAAGAACCCTTTCCTCCAGCTTCAGTTTGTTAGAAGAATAGTCATAGCATACACTCTAAACCAGGCGTGTCCAACCCGCGGCCCAGAACCACTAGTAATGGTAATAAGGCCCAGTTGCTGTCCGGGCGGCGCGGGAGGCAGGGAGCTTGTTTTTTGTTTTTACATGGCAATCCCACTCAAACGTAACAAACAAGTTAACAGTTATCTGCTAAACAATGTAAATATCAAAATTAAGAAAATGGCTTTTGAAGTTTTATTGCTTGTATACATTAACTATATTATATATTTGCTGTGCGGTCCAAAAACCATTCCCCTTTGCTCAATGCAGCCCAGGGAAGCCAAAAGGCTGGACACCCATGACCTATTTTAAACCATACATTTTGTTCTTTGTTTTTGTGCTTTGTTTTAGACAGACATATTATATTATATTATATTTTATTTTATATATATTATTTTTTTGTTCTGTGTATTATTCTATAAATATATTTTAATCGCATGCCTTTCAAAACTTGAATTGATGCTTATTGTTTTTCTCGTTCCTGGATAGAGTAACTGTAATATAAATAGCATGGTACTAAGTGTGTATATTTGGATCGCTATAGTGAATATAGTTAGGAGAGTATCTTTATACTAGATTATAGACCTTCTAGGTTTCCCTTACTTGAACATACAGGGGATTTAAAGACTTTTCTGGTGGGGCGCAGTGGGTTCTCTCCCTTCCTGGAGATAGTTGTATCTATGGGAGGGCAATTTGCATATTTTACTAAGGCAGGCATAGGGAACCTTTCGCACTCCAGGTGTTTTGGACTACATCCTCCATAATGCTCTTACACCCGTAATGCTGGCAATGCATCATGGGAGGTGTAGTCCAAAATATCTGGCGTGCTGAAGGTTGCCTATGCCTACCCTAAGGTAATACCCCTCTTTGGGTGCATAGGCGCAGGGATGCGGTGGAGAGTAGCTGTACTTCCCTGAAGCTGTCCCCCAGAGGCCACAGCATCTTTTCTTTAACCCCTCTAGCTTCATCCTTCAGGAGCCTACGTTCTATTTTGATATATTCTGACAGTGAATTTCCAACGTGATCAATGTATATTTCTCAATTCTCACATTTTTGTGGTGCAGTTAAAGCCGTTTTAAACTGAGCCTTCCACCCATCGACACTTGTTTTGTTCCATAAACCCATTCTCCGCATCTTATTTTATTGCGGGTTTTCCTTCTATTCCAACAATACTGCTCTAAATGGTCATGACTTGAAATTTTGAGTTGTAGTTCAGAACTGTATTTCAATTGCCAACATTCTGCTGTAGAAGGTAAACTCCCAGAAACACTTGCCTGGGATACTCTCCGCAGCCTAGGCTGGCGTGTTCCTTACCTGCTGTCATTTTGGAGATGATACAGAATGGGAAGGTTAGTACTCAGGTAGTGGGCTGTATTGCTAATCATAGGGAAACGCAGAGCTTGGTAACCATGACTACTATGTAGACCCCCCCCATCTGCAAACTACAGGGCTGACTAGCACCAAAAGCTGTAACTGTGTGCTGATTCCATCTTAAAGCAAAGCCTTTCTAGCGCCTGTTTTACAGATGGTTAATACTGAAACCCGCCACCAGAGTGCACTGTTGGCTGCATTTCTGAAACTTCTTTTCTATCAGACCGCAAGACATAAATGTACAAAGAAACGTAACTTTATCTCTCACAGTAGAACTCATCCAGCTTCCTTCCATCTGCCTATAACACATTGTGCTTTTATCTTTCACAACATGCGCGATCTGCTGGTACGGCTACACTGTATATAACATCTAATCTGCTTACTCACAGGGTCGACTCGTTATGGTAGCCAGAAAATGACCGTCGCAGTCTGGACCACTACAAGTATTGTGAATACCGAGCCAGTGGACTACGTTCAACAAAGGATGAAGAAGGGACAAAATAATGTTTTAAAACAGTCCGTATTTTAGACTTTTTTTTTTTTTTTGACTGTAAAAAAATAATTTTATATTTGGATGTGGATACGGTTTCCAGCAAGGACAGTATTTTATCATACTAAAAGGGGAAGCATGGCTCGAGCTGATGTGTGCCAACCATGGACCTGCTAACCAATAATGTCATCCAGCTGACCAATCCCAATGCAAAGCTCTAGAACGTTGTGCCATTGTCTAAGGACACTCTAGAACTTATTTGGTGCCAAACTTTGTCTTACTGATCATTTTCACATGCTATTGTAATTTAGCATTTTCCAAATGAAAATCTTATTCTTTTTATAGATCACGTTTTTGATTTCCGGTTATTTTCACAAATATATTGAAAATAAATATTTTCAGGTTAAGTTGTGTTTGGTTTTCTGTTATGTACCCACCTCATTTATAATGTGTGCGCAAACTTAGTATTAATCAGGAAGGGATCACCTACTGAAATAATGTGGGACAAATTTCAATGAGTTGGTTAAAACTTCATATGAATAAAAGTAGCTGTAGTAATAACCAAATTCCATATTCCAAAATACTCTTCTAGTCTAAGAAAAATATCCAATTGTGGGGACTAAACCCCCACTGCCATAGGTTCGTTACTCAGCTTCTCTGTACCACAACAAAGAACAAATGTCGGGGAAATGAAAGACTCTATAGTCACCAAAGAAAAATTATATATATGTGTGTGTGTGTGTGTGTGTGTCATTGCTGTATTAACCCCTTAAGGACCGGCCTGTTTTTGCGATGTTGTACATTTGCGACCAGGCCTCTTTTTACACTTTTGTGGTGTTTGTGTTTAGCTGTAATTTTCCGCTCTCTCATTTACTGTTCCCATACAAATTATATATTGTTTTTTTTCAGGACAAAAAGGGCTTTCTTTACATACAATTATTTATATAATCTCATGTAATTTAATTTAAAAAATAAATAAAAATATATGATGAAAACTTGAAAAATTTGTATTTATGTAATGAAACCATACAGAGACACAAATCATACTTTAGGAGACCTATAACTTGGTAACTGCCGAATCCTAGCTAATGTTGTTTAAATAGAAACTGGGTTCGAATGGGTTAAATATTTCACCAGTGCCTAACTGTTTTGGGTTTTGCCTAATGGGTACCCGTAGTATACCTTTATGCTACATTTTACACAGGACTTAACTGGCTGAGCGCCAAGAGCAACTTCGTTTTCATTTGATTTGCTAAGCTCATTTCATACAAGTTAAATGTTACTGAGAAGTTAGAGTGTATACTCTTATACCTACACGCTGAGTGTATTAAGTCATAAACCTACACTTTACATGTGTAAATTTGTCAACGCTATCGCCAATATGTTCCCCCTTTCCTTGTATGAAGCGGATGGAATAATATCTCATTACCCCCCCTTAACACATTTTCAACAATAGGGCAGCACAGTTTTAAGAAATGAGTGTTAAAGGACCACTATAGTGCCCTGAGGGTGCCCCCACCCTCAGAGTCCCCCTCCTGCCGGACTCTAGGGGGGGTGAGGGGGTGGAAGGGGTTAAACTTACCTCTTCCTCCAGCACCGGGCGGGGGACTCTCCTCCTCGGCTGAATGCGTATGCGCGGCAGGAGCCACACGTGCATTCAGCCAGTCCATAGGAAAGCATTCTCAATGCTTTCCTATGGACGCTGGCGTCTTCTCACTGTGAAAATCACAGTGAGAAGTGTTGACACGCCTCTAGCGGCTGTCAATGAGACAGCCACTAGAGGCTGGATTAACCCTATTATAAACATAGCAGTTTCTCTGAAAGGGTTAATCCTAGCTGGACCTGGCACCCAGACCACTTCATTAAGCTGAAGTGGTCTGGGTGCCTATAGCTGTCCTTTAACCTATGCCTAAGCCTGTACACATAACACATTATTAACTTGCCTTGCATGTACTTTGAAACACATTTAACACATACTACCGGCACAGAGGATTAGAAAAGCTTACACCCTACAACATGCTTTAACAAAATCATACCGGTACTGCCTGATTTTGACTTTAATGCCTGTTACCTTTCATCTGACAAAAAGAAAAAATGCACTGTATCTTTTATGCCATGTTATATTTTACTGTTAAATGGATCTCTGCAGTTATCATGGCGCAGTGAGCCAGACTGTCAATCCATGCACAAACAAAATAATTTAAGAAAAAGTTGTTTTTTTTTTTTTTTTTACTGTAGTTTAGATACACTTGCATATCTGCCATTACAACATAACATACGGATGAGATATGAATTATTAACATTTACTCCATAAGAGATTTTTTCTTTTCATGTATTAGGTAAGCAACTTAGGGGTTAAATAGTTTGCAAATAAGAGGATGCCCTCCTCTCTCATGATTGGCAGGCAGGACAAAGTGCTCAGCCAACCATCGATGAGTTGCTAGTTTAAAAATCAGACACTTGCTTGTCTTCAGTTCCCCTCTGATGAGCGATCCTGGCGAAACGCGTGAGTCAGGGGCTCAGGACATCTAATCGGTAATTGCCCAGATCTGCACTGACAGAATACTGACCTGGTGTATACATTTTTAGGGATCTAGCAGTCCTAAGATCGACTATTTACCTTTACTTATTACTAATTTCAAGCGGTGGGCATAAGACAGAATAGACAGGTTTTTTTTATTAAGGGGGGCCCTCGAAGGCACATGAGATAAGAATCTTTTACCTTGAAGGTTCCATTCTAAGAACTACAGACCAGCTAAAAGATAAGCATTAGCTCACTGATTGAAGTACCTTGTGTTGCTTCTTACAACGTTAACTATACAATAGGAGCTCAGAAATACAGCAGGTCTGTTCTAAAGAATAAAACCCGTCTTTTCTTTTACTGATACTGATACCGGAGAAACTGACGGAAGCAAGGCACAGAGGGATGGACACAGGTTTCTTCAGGAAGGAAGAGATTCTTTATTGGATCACCGATCGGGACTCAGAGGGACTAATGTCACCAAAAATACAGCAAGTTCTGAGCCCTGAACAATAGTGCAGGCTTCCTATATAGGCACATAACTCCTCCCATATTAAGCTCCACCCGCACATTCTCTTGACCAATCATTACAAATAAGAATTAACTTCCTGCTTGACCACATGGCTTGTCCAGCACAATGGAGGAGGGGAATGCTACATCCTGTATTCTTGCACATGCTCCGTACACTACTGATCGTATCTTGCCTCGTGCAACCAACTGATCGATACGTCAGCATATGCACGTACACATGCCATGTGGTAATCTCGGCCTACTAAATTTATTTTTACCGAGATTCCACCACATTCCCCCCTTTGATGCCTCTTGATATTTTACAATTACTTGAGGCATCACTTAACCTTGGTTTACATACACCACAAGTTACCTTTGAACCAGACCAGACTTATCCTATGATGTGAATCTTCAACACTCATCTTCCTGCATTAGTTCTCCCTGATCTAGAGCCTTATATTTATAAATTGCCATTATCTGTGCAGCAGCCTTCCTCTCTGCTATATTTTCTATCAGGCTTTGCACAGACCTAACTACTAAGGGTATAAGACACGGCAGGAGTAGACACAACATTAAAATCGGTAGGACTCCACCTACCACTGCCTTAAGCCCTCCAAACCACTCATACCAGCTACCAAACCAACTACTTGGATTGTACCCTTTCCATACCTGAGTAGGCACATGCGCTAGTTTAACCATATGGCTAGTAAGCTCAGCTATTGCTTGCCCTTCATCATCTATTTGAAGACAGCAATTGCTCAGGTTAAACTTCCCACATACACCTCCCTCTACTGCCAAAAGATAATCCAAGGCTAATCTATTTTGGTAGACTGCTGTCCTCATCCTGGTATTATGCTTCGCTAGAAGATTGAGCGCTTGTGATGTCTCGTTAGTAATGATCTCAACCACCGCCTGTAACCTTATAATGCGGTTGAGCATATAAATAGGGGTTCTATAACCAAAGGTACACATGCCCCTTCCCAGTCCTGTGGTAACTCCGAATAGGCCTTCTTACCACAGATCCAGTACAAATTCGCTGGGGCTCTCCAGTTAGATGTGATGGATAGATCAAACCATACGTCCTTTAAATTGGCATATCTTGCAAACGGGTTAGATGGTTCTGAGACATTTGAAGCCGACCACCAAGTTGTATTCTTTGTATCATCATCATAAGCTTTTTGCCTAGACAAGTTAATTCTCCTACAGAAGTATTATACATCATTCCTTTCCTCGCTATGCAAACATAACCTATGATGGAGGTCTTCAATCTCCACTCAGATTTACCTCTAACACTCATATGATAGTCGGCTTGTATAGATATTAATTGGTCAACTGCCTCAGAACCGGACATTACCTCCTTTGCTTCCCAAGGCCATTGGTCTCCCATGTTAGTACCTCCACACACATAGCAGTTGGTAACATTAAGACTACCGGCAATACTCTCGGCTAAATCAATGAACAAGTTTTTTAGCATTATGGGGGATCTTATTATCTATGCTCATCTCTTCATAAAAGGAATGGTATACTTGATGAGTTTGGGAGGTTACCGTATCAGTCTCTATTCCTATAAACAATATTGTCCCAGGGTCTAAACCCGTCCCATATATTTGAAACCCAAATAAATTACCATATTTATCTAAGAACTTGTCAGGGTTATTTATAAGTATATGGATTGGATTGCATTCCATAGACTTACAATATGGATCAATAGGCAACTTAGTCACAATCATGTCCTTGTCTACTGTCTGTCCCCAAGTCGCCCACCCCACACAAGACCAATATGGGCAGAAGTTATAATCTCTATTTGGACATCTTGGACTTACATATCTATTTTTACTACTGGGACAAATATATTTATCGTTAGACCCATACGTCCTCTCCCATCTAAGGTCCCCACATACATTCCACGGCTTTCTACCACTTGATATTGCTTTACACGCATCAAATAGCAGAGCACCTGAAGAATATACGGATTCTAATACCGTCTTATTAATTAGGGTTCCCTGAGGATCTCCATTTCTGAGAGTCAACCAAATTGTACGGGGTTGATACTCAGGACTGAAGCACTCAGGTTCTCCTACTCCTAAATGACACACACTATATTCTATATTTAAGTATCTACATCTTGATACATCTCCTTTACACTCATATTGCGAATGCCAAATTAGGGTCTGGGATATATGATTACCTGTTCTTGTAGTCTTAATGCATACCTCACAGCTAGGAGTGTTGGTACCTCTACCTTCCTGAATATAAAAATACACATAAATAAACATTATTAAAATACATCTTTCGTCGTCATCCTCAGTCTTCGTCCGTGTGAAGGCACCTCAGCTTCCAGGATGTAAGGACTGCAGGGAATGGAGTTCTGCTCGTCTTCACAAGGGTCCCCTCAAGACTTTCCCTGACTTATACACTCGTTGGTGAGTGGACAGGCTTTATTATGGCCTTCTCACTCACTTACCAAGTCTCTGAAACAATAAAATTTGTGATCCACAAGGTTCCTCGTCTCTCCGACTGAGTCGTGCGTTTTAACCGGATTTTGCAGGGATTCTCTGGATTTGCTGTAACTTGCCAGGAATCGGCTGCTGCTGGTTTAACCCTGGAGTGATGTATCCACGGAGCCACTTCGGCTACTTTTATCGCTGTAGGGGTAGACAGAAGAACAACATAAGGACCTCTCCACTTGGCACATTATTCCACTCTTTAATCCACACTTGGTCGCCTGGGTGGTAACTATGAATTGGGGGATAAATATTCACAGGTAATCTATCTTGTACCCATTTCTGTACCTCCTCCATAGTCTTACCCAACTCTACAACCTGCTGCCGGGTAATTTCTTCTCCCAACTGACTCAAATCCCCCCTTAAGTTACCAAGCACGGGAGGTGGTCGCCCGTACATGATTTCAAAAGGAGAGAGGCCCATCCTTCTGGTAGGTGTACTACGGATTCGCAATAGAGCTATGGGCAAGAGAACGTTCCACTTAAGTTGGGTTTCCTGACACATTTTAGCCAACTGATTCTTAATAGTTCTATTCATTCTCTCTGCCTTACCAGAACTCTGGGGTCTATATGCCGTATGAAGCCTCCACTTTATACCAAGCATATGAGTCAATTGTTGTAGGCACTGATGAACAAAAGCTGGACCATTGTCCGATACTATAGAGCAGGGTAGTCCATATCGGGGTATTATTTCTCGTAGCAGGAATCTCACGACTTCTCCTGCTTTCTCTGTACGAGTAGGACATGCTTCTACCCAGCCTGAATAGGTGCACACCACTACCAGAAGGTAGCGATGTCCACCCGATTTAGGCATCACTGTATAGTCAATTTGTAAATCGGACATGGGAAGTCCCCCCATAAACTGGACTCCTGGTGGCTTTACTGGTCCTTATCTTGCATTATTTTTAGCACACGTTACACATCTACGTACAATGGCCTGAGTCAAGTTGGACAATCTTGGTATGTAGAAATGTTTTCTGAGAGATTCTTCTGTACTGTCTCTCCCAGAATGTGTCCCGTTATGATAGTTTTGGACAATTTCTACCGCTAGTGATGCTGGAACAACTATTCTTCCATCTTCTAACTGATACCATTTGTTCTCCAAATACTTTCCAGGTTCAGTCCTTAACCACTCCTCTTCTTGAGCTGTATAAATTGGAGTCCATTGAAACAGTGGAGTTGGTATAAGAGCAGCTATATGCCCCACATATTCCTGTCTTCCTGATTCAGCAGCACGCTTAGCTGCACTATCTGCCATCCGATTCCCTTTGGTTACATCACCATCTCCTCTCAGATGTGCCCGACAGTGTATAATACCGACTTCTTTCGGCTCCCACACTGCTTCCAATAGTTGTAGGATCTCAGCTGCGTATTTGATTTCTTTGCCTTCTGAATTCAATAGTCCTCTTTCTTTATACAAAGCTCCATGGGCATGAGTGGTTAAAAACGCATACTTGGAGTCCGTGTAGATGTTCACTCTTAAACCTTCAGCCAATTGTAACGTTCGTGTCAGTGCTATCAATTCTGCCTTTTGTGCTGATGTTCCTTTTGCCAGTGGCCGAGCTTCTATCACCTTGTCTATCGTTGTTACTGCATATCCTGCATAGCGGATCCCTTCTTTTACATAACTACTGCGTCGGTGTAATATTGAACATCAGGGTTCTGGATGGGAAAATCACGAAGATCTGGTCTACTTGAAAATACTTCATCCATTACTTCCAAACAATCATGTTGACTTTCAGTAGGTTGTGGCAAAAGGGTAGCTGGATTTAAGGTATTTACAATCTCTAAATGCACTCTTGGGTTTTCACACAACATTGCTTGATACTTGGTCATACGGCTGTTACTAAACCAATGATTTCCTTTGTAATCCAACAACGTCTGTACTGCATGTGGAACTCGTACATAAAGTTCTTGACCCAGAGTGAGTTTATCGGCTTCAGCTACTAGCAGGGCGGCTGCAGCTACAGCTCTTAGGCAAGGTGGAAGTCCGCTGGCCACTGCATCCAGTTGCTTAGACATGTAGGCAACAGGTCTTTGCCATGATCCCAAGTACTGTGTCAATACTCCCACAGCCATTCTTCTTTGCTCATGTACATACAGGTAGAATGGCGTGTGTGGTCAGGTAGACCTAATGCTGGGGCACTCATCAAAGCCCTCTTCACATCTTCGAATGCCGTTTGCTGTTCTTGAGTCCATAAGAAGGGGTCGTGCTCTGTACCTTTGATAGCTGCATACAGAGGTTTTGCCAGTATCGCGTAGCTGGGAATCCATATCCTACAGAAGCCTGCTGCCCCAAGAATTCTCGCACTTGTCTTCTATTCCTGGGTATCGGTATTTGGCACACAGCTTCT